GTTTGGATTGCTCTTTGGGCTTACGAGGGAGGGGGACTAGACTGGGGGAGGGGGAGGGAAAGGGGAGGCGGTGGTGGGGAAGAGACAGAAATCTTTAATTAATTAATAAAGAAATAAATAAATTAAAAAAAATAAAATAGAACTATGAGAAAAAAATCCATCTTGAACTTCTAGGAGAATGGGCTTCTCTTGCTGATCCTCCGTAAGTGACCGCCATCCTCTGCCGTCTTACAACACAAAAGTCTATATTTAGCTTCGCGCTGCCTTGGTTCTCACATTGCTCACGCATCTCAAAGTGCTTGCTTGCTGGATATGGAGATCATTCAGTCAGGGAAGTGCTTGCCGCACCATGATGAGTATGGTCCCCAAAACAAAATAAAAATAACCCAGCTGGGACAATGGAGCAAGTTTCTTATCTCGGTGCAAGGGTGACAAAGATGGGCTTCCACCCTGGGGTTCACTGGCCACCCAGCCTAGCCTGGTTGGTGAGTTCCAGGCCAGGAGGAGACCCTGTCACAAAAACAAGGTGAACACTACCTGGGAAGAGGCTGACTTTCAGCCTCTACGTGCAAGCATCCTATGCATCCACAGGAACCGTGCACCACACACGTGCGCACAAAACTGCATCCTTTGTAGGCCTGTGTACTGCTAGGAATTATCATGGCCTGTTTCTTAGCGCCCTGGTTTGTCTAGACTCTGGGTGTTGAGTTCATAATGGGACTGGCTTGATGGAGGTTACGTATCAAACAATTTAAAGTTTGCAAAGCTTAGAACAAGACCTTCTGCGTGTATTGAATGCAGAGAAAGTGTTTGCCATACAAACAAGATATTGCCGAATAGAGAGGATAACCCATGATGTCTTGTTTTAAAAATAGTGTCTCTTCTAGAAGACAGTACAGTTTCAGTGATTTCAGTGCATTTGCTTTCTGCTGAGGTTCTGGCAGTTTCTACCCGGTGCCTAGACTTCTGAAGTGTGGCAGTCATACTGTGCCTGTCCTAGGTATTCTACATGGGCAATGTCAAATCATGGAAAGAATGTGGTTACAGGCATATTGCTGCGTCTAAATGGTTGCTTGGAGATTTGAGTCTACCAGCAAAGTCCTGGGAGCTGGGGTGGAAGCTACTTAGGAATGGAAGTGAACCATTAGCAGGATTTTGATAGCCTTAAGACATCTGCAACTTTAATGGGGGGGGAACTTCTGTTTTAAATTCAGGTCTTTCCTGGAGATGCAGACAGAAGCTTGAACTTTCTCTGATTTGCAAAGAAAGGTATATAAGTCGCTAGCGGGGAGGGTAAGAAGACTGTTCTGTTCAATCTAGAGAATGATATGTGGTTGCTGTATTTTCAGTTTTGCATGAGTATGTTTATTGTTTACAATAAGCTAAAGTAAAAGAATAAATAGCAAGTGATTGATGATAGGTGATAGCTAGATGATAGCTAGATGATAGCTAGATAGATAGATAGATAGATAGATAGATAGATAGATAGATATGATTGATAGGTAGATATGATTGATAGATAGGTAATAGATAATGGTAACTACATGATAGATAAATGATAGATGATATATAATATCTACTATATAGTGATATATAATGATAAATAATTGATAGGTAGATTATAGATAAATAATAGCTAGGTAATTAGATGATAGGTAGGTAGATGATGGATGGATGGATGCTGGATGGATGGATGGATAGATCAATCGATCAATAGATAGATAACAAAACATTGTTAAAGCAGGTACATAAAACACCCAACACAAATTGACTGAGGAAGCTCCTATTAAGGCAGTCAGCTAGAGTCCCAAATAGAGAGAGTCTCTGACTGTACAGTGGCCCCTTGTTTTAAAAAAATCTGTCCTATACGATATTACAGTTTTAGTCATTTTGTGGTTTAGAATGGGAAGAACAGTCTTCAGTTCTTCATTAAACAGAAATGTACGGTTCACAAGGGGAAGGACAGACCGCCACAAGAAAATAGCATCAGATCAGATGTTCAAAGCATCTAACAGAAACCACCTGGATAAGTTGAGACCTGCAGCAGAGTTCCCAATTGAGCCTTGTCTTCATAGATGAGCATCCGTGGCTAGACTTTCATCTTCTCTCTTCAAAAGTTATGGGATAGTTCCGGGCGGTGGTGGTGCACGCCTTTAATCCCAGCACTCGGGAGGCAGAGGCAGGCAGATCTCTGTGAATTCAAGGCCAGCCTGGTCTACAAGAGCTAGTTCAAAGACAGGAACCAAAAAAAAAGCTACGGAGAAACCCTGTCTCGAAAATCAAAAAAAAAAAAAAAAAGTTACGGGATAGGTAGTGGTCACCTGTCGGAAATGGTTTGTCTTCATTGTTCTCAGGGTCACAGTGGTTTTACTCTTGGGTTGGTTTTGTCCTCCCTGTCACAGCCCATCCACAAACAAGGAGCCGTAGAGGACACTGGACCATGTGACCAACAGGGAAAGCAACTCCACATTCATAGCCAGCCTCTTAGTGAGCTTACGCAGCACTTGGCCCTTTGCTAGTTTGCTTTTCTATGTTAATGGACAGCAACTTGGGGGAGAAAAGAATTTTTTTGGCCTACACTGTTGTATTAATCCATCATTGGGGGAAACCAAGGCCGAAACCCTGGAGGCACACTGCTGCTGGACTGGTCACGCTCTGCCTCCTGAGTACTCGCTTTCTTATGTGGCCCAGTCTTCTCTACTGTACTCTGCCCGTGTGCTCAGCAGCACTCACGGTCCCACTGCCCGAAATGTCCCCCTAATTCATTGTAGGTCCTTTCGTCAAAGCTGCGTAGCCTCAGACAGACACCAACTTGCCGTATGTTCTACTTTTCACAGACAGACCTTGTCAGGGTCATTGTCTCAGCCTGAATATTATTATTCTTTATTTGAGTCAAGATGTCCCTTCCTCCTCCTTCCCTCCCTCCGTCCCTCCTCCTTCCCTCCCTCCCTCCCTCCTGCTTCCTTCCCTCCCTTCCTCCCTCCTCCTTCCCTCCCTCCCTCCCTCCCTCCCTCCCTCCCTCCCTCCCTCCCTCCCTCCTGCTTCCTTCCCTCCCTCCCTCCCTCCTCCTTCCCTCCCTCCCTCCCTCCTCCTTCCTTCCCTCCCTCCCTCCCATTTTTTCTCACCAGCCTTTCTTTTTTTTTTCTTTTTTTAAATTTATTTATTTATTTATTTATTTATTAAAGATTTCTGTCTCTTCCCCACCGCTGCCTCCCCTTTCCCTCCACCTCCCCCAATCAAAGACCCCCTCCCTCGTCAGCCCAAAGAGCAATCAGGGTTCCCTGCCCTGTGGGAAGTCCAAGGACCACCCACCTCCATCCAGGTCTAGTAAGGTGAGCATCCACGAAACTGCCTAGGCTCCCACAAAACCAATAGATACAGTAGGATCATAAACCCACTGCCATTGTTCTTGAGGTCTCAGTAGTCCTCATTGTCCACTATGTTCAGCGAGACCGGTTTTAACCCGGGCTTTTTGAGACCCAGGCCCGCTGGCCTTGGTGAGTTCCCGATAGAACATCCCCCTTGTCTCAGTGTGTGGGTGCACCCCTCGCGGTCCTGAGTTCCTTGCTTGTTCACCAGCCTCTTTCTAGGGCCAGCATTTTCAAGGCAGAGACATTCCCTGCCTAGGTTTCACTTGGAGCTGAAAAGGCCTTGAATAACACTACTGTTTTCACTTACTCCTTTTTTAAAAAAATTATTTATTTTTGTTTTCTGTTCATGGGTGTGAAGGTGTTGGATCTCCTGGAACTGGCAGGCAATTATGAGAATTATGAGCTGCCACGTGGGTGCTGGGAATTGTCGTACCTGGGTCCTTTGGAAGAGCAGCCAGTAGTGGTCTCAACCGATAAGTTACCCTGTCACCCTACCCTACTTTTTTTTTCTGAGACAGGGTTTCTCTGTGTAGCTCTGGCTGTCCTAAACTCACTCTGTAGCCCAGGCTGGCCTCAAATGCACAAAGATCTGCCGGCTTCTGCCTCCAGAGGACTGGGATTAAAGGCGGGCACCATCATGCCCAGCTGCTTTTCTCATTCTTCTGAGCAGATATCTCATAGTCAAGGGAGTGCGGGTTTGCTGTGGCTCCGGTAAGAGTGCAGTCTGTTACATTAGGGAAGGAATTACAGGGAGGCCTCTAGCACCGTGGCAACAAGCTCATCAGATGCTTGCCTACCTCTTAGCTAACTAGAGATTGGTAGAACTGGTGCCGACACCCAGCTAGTTTTCTTCCATTTTTCCCCGTTTTTATTCAGTCCTGAACTCCAGCCCATGCAGTAGAACCACGCACATTTAGGGTGGGTGAGCTTCCCTCCTGCCCCAGTCCGCCATCTCTGGAAACATCCTCAGAGACACACCCAAAGGTGTGCTTCGATAATGCCCTAGGTATTTCTTAATCCAGTCAAGTTGCCCGTGGGAACTAACCAGTGCACTTTCACCGAATGCATCATGATGAGTGTGACCCTTTTGAGAAATGAGTGTCGCATCAGCTCATGTGGCTGGTTGGTTTGTTCCTTTGTTTTGTTTGTTGTAGTAATTCTTTCATTTTCTTCCAAGTTTTCTCTCCTGGTTATTGGTCTAAAGTTGCTAGATAGAGAAAATTTCTGTGTTAAATAAAGCAAGATTGGGAAGGGCTTTCCTGTAGGACGTGTGAGTCTTCACTATGGTGGAGAGTTCTGAGTCCTGGGGAATAGGGAGGAACCGCCCTGCTGTGTCTATCCTGGCCTTGCTGGCTGGAAAACCTAATCTATAAGAAATGCAGCTTGTTCTGGTGTCTCCACCACCCCAGACTGGCTGGCCACCTCATTTTCTAAGGTCCTCCTGCCACCAGGTGGCAGTGCTTCCAGGGCATAGGCTGGGTGGGGGTCTGAGTGGGCCTGGGGTTTGAGCTATGTGTCTGAGGTGTGGTGCAGTCATACTAGATGGGGTGGGTGGGGGTCTGAGTGGGCCTGGGGTTCGAGCTGTATATCTGAGGCTGTTGTGACCTTCTCACCTCTTTCCCCAAACAGAGAAGGAGACCTTCCTGGATCCTTTTGTCCTCCGAGACCTCCTGCCCGCGTCCCTGGGCAGCTACTACCGATACACAGGCTCCTTGACCACACCTCCATGTAGTGAGATTGTGGAGTGGATTGTCTTCAGTAGGCCTGTTCCCATCTCCTACCACCAGGTGAGCATCCAGCCTCCATTTATGCTCTCTACCTTGACTGCATTTGCATTGAATATTTACTATTACTAGATACGATTAGTATGGGGTTTTATTTTCTGCTTTTTAATTCATTTCTTCATACAGTTTTAAACCCAAGGATAGCAGAATTTAAAATATGATTTCTCCATTGGGCGGTGGTGGCACGCGTCTTTAATCCCTGCCCTCCGGAGGTAAAGGCTGGCAGTTGAGGCTAGCCTGGTCTACAGAGTGAATTCCAGGATAGCCAGGGCTGTTACACAGAGAAACCCTGTCTCAAAAAGCAAAAACAAAACCAAATAAAAATATGGTTTCCCAATGCTGTCTTCTGGATGTGACAGAGTCAGTGCGGTCAATATCATACCTCCCCCTCCCACCCCCCGCCGCAGCATGGCTTTGCTGTCAGTAGTCAGTCATGGATCCAGGAGAGGTTAACAGGGCCCAACCCATCCCTATTGACTGGATTCTGGAGAAGGGGCAGTCGTATTCAGCTGAGTACCCACCAAGGACCCCTAACAGACTCAATGAATAGTTCCAAACCCATGGCCACACAGATAGTCCTTGTTAAACTCAGTGGCTCAAGGGTGAATAAGTAAGAAGACATGGATGTGGAAAAGGAACCTTTAGGGAGGAGAGAGAGTGATAGGGATGGGGTATTAGAGAGTGGGGGTGGCAGTGGGAGGGACTAGGAGACTCAGAATCCGCATTATACACACGTGAAATTGTCAAGGAACAAATTCCGTAAACACGGTATCAACAATAAGCTCTAAACATGAAAGAATATTCTCAGCTGAAGATTAACTTGCTGAGCATGGCAGGCATGGCAGGAGGTGTTGTCTGGGGTTTGGTTGTGTGGAAATAATAGCTGTCCACAGTGATAACTTGCATCAGAGGCACATATGTTCTCCCTGTGTGTTTCCCCATTTGTGGTCTTAGCAGGCAGATATTATTTAAACCCTCACTTTATGGTGGGGATAAAGACAGATCAGGGTCAGTGGCTTTCAGGATTCTGTGAGTACCCGGCCTACCACAGCTGAGAAAATAGATCCCTGTGCACAAAGAACTAGCCCTCATGCGTGGCTCACTGAGCTCTCCGGCCCTCGCTTCTTCTCACTGTCAGATGATCTAAGCAGAACAACAGGAAGGAGCAAAGTTGTGTTTTTACTCAGTTTCAGAGCGTTTCATCTGTGCTTGGCTGGACTTGCTGTTCTGGTCCTGGGTGGCCGGAAATTGGTGAAGGAAACAACCTACCCTCTCATGACCAGAAAGCTACCAGCAGCAAGGACAAGTTGGGCCATGCCACCAGAGGCGCGTCACTAAGACCTCGTCCGTGGGGTTAGCCTTTGGAGGAGCTGGCATCCTCTCGTTCCTGTCATTCATTTCTCAGTAGTGCCCGCATCTAGGGCATGGTACATCTGAGCCTTCCTGGAAGCCCACGCTATTTCTGAACAGGCTCCTTATATGTCAGTTGGATCAGTGACTCAAAAGCCTTGAGAGATGGGTACTGTCCTAACGGGGCACACACAGAGCACTAGAGTGTAGAGGCATTGGGTGCCATGGGTACTGCCCTAACGGGGCACACACAGGGTGTTAGAGTGCAGAAGCATTGGATGTGAGGACCCCAAAACTGGATGTTTCTGACCCATTGCTGCACTGCTTTCTTTTGATTTGGGTCTGAGTTGATCTCTTTGGAAGGTGAGACTCAGGCCAAACAGTTAACCATAGGGAGAAGCTTGTGAAAGGAGCCTGGAATTGGCACACTGGCTGAAGAAAGGGAGCTACCAGAGGCATGAGGACCCTTAGGTCACATCCTGAAAATTGACAGAATGAAGGGAAGACTGTTTGGAAATCATGTATTTCTTGTCAAAAGTTCAGCCTAGAGTCCTCCACATAGTTCTGTGGGAAAGACACTCGTAGCCACACCTAATGATGTGAATTCTGTCCCCAGGGTCTGCATGATGAAAAAAAGAGCGCCAGCTCCCACACATGTGACCCTCCAACATAAATAATAAGTAAATGTAATTTTAAAAACTTAAGACTTCAGCTTGTACTGGGAAAATATAGTAGGATGCCTGATGTGTAGTGCCAGGAACAGTGGGTAGGACGTGAGAAAGCAGGATGGAGCCACTAACCAGGGCTAACTAAAATGAAGGGCTCTTGGGAGGCTCTTCCCTACCCAGCTGTAGTAGACGGTTGCTTGTTTGTTCCTGGCTGCCCAGACCCCCATAATAATCACACAGAAACTATAGTATTTAAGCCACTGCTTGACCAATTACTTAAGCATATTGCTAGCTAGCTCTTACATCTTTGGTTAACCCATTTCTATTATTTTATATCTTACCAAGAAGCTGTGGTTTACTGGCAAGGTTCTGGTGCATCTGTCCCCAGCCGTGGCTACATGAGTTCTCTCTGACTCCGCCTTCTTTCTCCCAGCATTTAGTTTAACTCTCCTGTCCCTGCACCCAACTCTACTCTGCCCTCTCACAGGCCAAAGCAGCTTCTTTATTCATTAACCGATAAAAGCAGCATATATACAGAAGGACCTCCCACACCACTTAGCCACCCTTACAGTTGTAGGCAGCAGTGAGACAAAGGGAAGGAGAAAGTTCTAGAATGATGTGGCAATGCCAGTATTTAACTAATAACAGAAGCAATAAAATTTTCATCCCTGGGGGATAGTCTAGAGTTTTGGGTAGAGACTAGGGGTTAGGCTAAAGGGCCAGGTGGCTCTCTGCTTAGGCATGGGTCCAGCTATAACAAAGAGAGTTGACCACTTCAAGAAGTTTAAGCAGATAGTGTATTTTGGAGACACAGTAAGTCAGGGCATTTTTGAGGTGAGGCTGTGTAAGCCTTCCTACACAGGACTGACTTCTAACTAGGAAGCGAAGCCTGGGCTTTTTTTTTTTTTTTTTTTTTTTTTTTTTTTTTTTTTTTTTTTTTTTTTTTTTTGTCTGTCTTGCCTCCAGAGGTCTCATCAATCCGGGAGCTTCCTGCATGGCTTTGTAACTGATCCTGGGCTTTCACAGACCTCTCCTCTGGTTTGTTTGCTCTCCATTTCCCTCCCCACCGTGGCTGTACTAGTCCCAGTTGACCCTTAAGGTCAAGAGCTGGCAAGAGCTGGCTAAAGCCAAGTCTTCCATCCAGAAAGGATTCCTGAAGATGTATTTGAGAACCCAGCCAACCAAAATCTGGCCTTAAGTCACATGCCTGTTCTTAAATAAGCCAGCAGAGGTGCTGGGTAGTGCCCCCAAAGCATCCAGTGTTGACCTTTCTCGGGTTACAGGAAGCAGGCGCTGTAAGAGGTTCAAGAGAGCAGCCCTTTATCCTCCTGGCAGAGCAGGGTGGCATTGTGCCAGGCTAACCTGGGTTTTTCCGCTGTTAGCATCCATTTTTTTCTTTGAGGATGTTTTTCTTTTTAATTCACACCATGACAAAAAAAAAAAAAAGGAAGGACTAGCAATTTGGTTCCTGTACAAGATCTGCCAGCCGCAAGGAGAAAATGAAATAGAGACAAGTTTTCTTCCTCATGGTGAAGCCAACATTGTTTTGTTTTTAAAGAAATCAGTCCAAATATTTATCTCTGTAGGGCTGAGTAAAGAGTGTAGTTGATCTTTAAACGGGTCCTTTTTGTTACTTAAGATAAATGCTTCTGCCTTCAAATATTTAAATGCTTGAGCCATTGAAGTTAAGTAATAGGGATTTTCCCACTTTCGCTTGGGTTCCTGGTGAAACAGGAGTGAGGAGTGGCAGTTGGCTAACTCAGGAGGTTTGAAGGCCATCAGCATATGCTGGGTGGCTTTGGCAAACAAATATCTACTAGGTTCAAACAAAGCACACACTTTTGGGGAGTGGCTGTCTGCAGAAGTGTTTGTGGATTTGAAGCATTTTGACATTTGGAAGCTGGAGCTTTTAGAAAGTGCTATGTTGATACCCTTTCCGCCCTCTGGAGCTCCAGAACAAGGACACGCAAGGAGAAGAAGGATGTAGGCGTTTGCGTTGCCTTCCCTGGAAGGGATTGCTTTACAGAGAAACAAAGAAGAAAGAAATGGGACAAGCTTTCTAAGTTCTCATTACCCATTGCCTGCAGATAATGCTGCACTTTGTATCAGACCCTTCTCCCTACATCCCCGTCTCACTCCCAGAGGGAAAAGACAGCCTCCTTTCACTGTGGCTGCACTGGCTCCTTGCTGGCCAGCTTTGGAGAGGCTGCAGCTGCGTCACCTGACCCCTCACCCTGGAAAGCAAGTGTCAGTCAGCCCTCCAAGTGCTCTTGCTCTTGCTTCAGACCTTCCTGCTCTGCCACTGCCAGCATCCTTTCCGAAGCTAGCACAGAACACGCATTTCGGGGAGGCAGAGGCCAGTTTGGAAAAGCCAAATGGTTGGGGATTTTCTGCCTCCATCAGAAAGAAATCAGCCCAAGTCTTTGAGAATCTGCTCAGCTATTTCTCCGAATCCCCTTTCTCTTAACTCTTCTCTCATCTCTGTGGGTGCCTACAAGCAGCGAGCAGAATAAGCATGTTCTTCGTAAGATGTGGTAATCAGCCCAGGAGTAGGACCTGGGGGATATGGGTTTCTTTAAAGGCTTGCAGAACACACGGACAGATTCTTAAGCTGAGTCTTTTGTTTTCTCCTGTGAATCTACATAGGCCCTCCCCAGCTCTTAGCCAGTGAACTCAGCCTCTGGCATGTATGATAATACAGATCTAAATTTGGTGTTTTTTTTTTTTTTTTGATGGGACCTAGACATCTTGGTTGACCAGAAGTTGGTGTGGTTTATTTGACTCCGCTATCCCTCCATTCTAAATACCAGACAAAAGTCATGGGGCTGGGACTATGACTCAGCAGTGAAAGCACTCATTGTACAAATGTGAGAACCAAAGTTCAGATCCCTGGAAACCATAAAAATGCTGAGTGAGCATAGTGGCCGGCCTGTCACTGCCAATCTTAGAAGGCAGAAACAGGAGATCCCAGAGCTAGCTGGTTAT